TTACCGAATGAATTCAAAATTTAAAAATAGTCAGCGGTCAACATTTTATTCAATTTTCAATCGGCACGCCAATGGTATTTGTTTGAGTTCAAGAACATAATAATATACCTAATTTACTTGGATTGTTTCAAATAGCCCAAAACTAGGACTCAACCAGTTGTTTTTTGCAAGAGATCTATTTATTTCAAGATTGTGGATATTATATTTAACCATTGAACCACAAACTTAATATGTGTTGGTGATAATAAGTTCGATCGAATCAGAAACGTATCAAATCAACATAAAACAAAAACTTTTTATTTTACACCTACATCGATCAACGATATATAAAATTCTGTGACAATGAGAAACGTGATTAATTTTTTTATGTGTCCCTTGACCAATATGCAAAAATAGTAGATACAGCTGGATGTCATTCAAATAAGACACAACTCTAAATTATTTCTCAGTGCTGAAGTATGTGAATAAAATAATGATGATTTACTTACCTATATAGAGATTGACAAATATACAAGTGAGAGTTTGATTTATCATGTGGGAATCTTCTGATTTAATAAATCATCACATATCAGACATCATATCGGCATCTATACATATACATAATAATAACCCAACCTTTTAAGGAAAATCAAAGCATTTATATTTCAAATTCATTCAAAACCGATCGTTATTCACTTATTTCTAGCATCATGACAGTAATTCAACGCTGATCAATTTATCTAAAAGCTAAAATGAATAATTTATAATAAAAGTTGTTCAAGAATGTTAAGTGTAGAAGTCGATATTCGTCATATTGCAACATACTTAATCAACTGCTAATACAATAATTGAATTTGAATGAGTTAAATGACTACAATAGAGGAAAAATTGCACTTGTATAAGAATGTAAGATTTATTGTGAGATATTTTGAAATAAAGTTGATTCACTATTTACCAAGTGTAGACCTGCATTTTTCATCTCAACTTTTCATGAATTTTTCCACTATCCACAAATATAGCACCCTGTATATATTATGTAAGCATCTTTACAAAACGTTGTTACCTAAGTAGACCTTAACCTATAGATTTTTGTTAACACAATTATATATATACATATTCCTTATACAATTTTCATGAAAGATTTATTTGAAATAGTTGTTAGTCATGAATGGATAATGTATAATAAAGACCGATTTCAATCCTCTGTGTAGAACAAATGATGTTTATACTACTTGCAGGAAAAATCAAAAACACATAATATGGGATCCATTATTTAATCTTCTTTGAAAAATTGAAAAGAATTGATACCACATTTGGTGATACCTTGGAAAAACCCTTCCAATATTTGAAGATGACGATTCTCTTCTAATAATTGACGATGGAATATCAAGAACAAATAATATATTAATTTCAACAATGCCATATTATATATGGCCAGCGAGATTTGATTTTGTTTTTGAGAATCATTTGATTTAGTTTTCAAGGTAAAATACAATATGAAAATAATTATTGTGAAATATTTACATAAAGTTCCAAAATTTTAAATGCAGGTATTTAAACACAGTTCTGTTCCAAATTATGAATTCATGATTCGATTGTTTGACATTGAACTAATTATTCGAGATAAAAGCGTGGGAATTGATCGAACAAATTTTGAATTCCACTATACACACATGGCCCCATACATTATTAGATATTTGTTTATGTAATTTCCTTTAAATAGCATTACGCCATTAGTATATCCAAGCTTTTTTTTAACTTCCGCGAGAGCGACAAGGTTAATATCCCTATATAAAAAAAATCGGAAATCAATGATAATTAATCAAATACTGTTATATGTAAAATGTGGAGTAAGTATAGGTTTATATTATTATTCATTGATTATTGTGAATATATTATTGATTATTAATAGAGTAATCGATCAGAAATGGTTATATTGTAGATCTATTCATTCTTATTCACGAATCAATTATTTATTGAAATATTCAATATATGTTCAACACAATTCCTTGGTATGATAAAATATCTTGTACATATGTATATCATTTTGAGTAGGTATATACCTACTTACCAATTTTATTAATTCGAAACTAATCAAATTTGTCCCAATAGAAAAAAATACTTATGTAACGGGCAGCATTTGACACGAACTGCTACCAAAATTTGGTAAGTAGGTATAAGTAGGTATATTTTCTGTACTTTTGTGGTCACTTTTTTATTTTCATCTTGTTCAAGTTATGGCTCCATATATTGTGCAACATTGGATTTAGATCGAATTTTATGTATCATTCTCAAGGAGAACATGCACATTAGCGAGATAGTTAAACAAAAATATGTGGGGTATTTATAAAAAGAAACTACAGTGGGACTGCTGAAATTTTTGCTCAAATTCCTATACAAACATAACTCAAAAAAATATTTGATCATAATTCGGTTTGAAGAAATTCAGAAGCTTATTTTTTGTTGCCTCAAGAGTGACGAATACGAAAAACAAGGAAAACTGATGAATTTATATTTAACAGGGCTAGTAAATGGCACAAAGAAAACTTGCATCGAATTTGGAGTTATCCCATTCGGTAAAAAAATTATGGTCATAACCATTATCTCGTCAATATAGGGTAAAGTATAGAGATCGATACAGGCTTTTCTGTAATTGAATATGGCAATGTCTGTGTTGTTTATTCGAAAACCATGTGAAAAAACTAACTTAACATCTTGAAAAAGTAAAACAATTTGTAATTCGTGAAATTCTGATTTTCGACAGCAATGCAGCAAAATACCAGAACACATCCACATACTCTCTCTCACACACCTAATGCAATTTAATCACTCAACTACACTATACATTTTGATTCGTAATGTGTGAATGATACAATAGTTTTTCCAAACCCCTCAAATCGACTGTACGCGATGAAATATAATACAATACTGCATGATAGCCGATGTTTGATTCACCACCTTCATGACTTATCAGTTATAATTGATTATTCTAACTGAATAATTCCCGAACAAGAATAGTATCTCTGACTACAATGTCAACACTATAAAGTCCGTATCACATGAGATTTTTTTGTTCACGCAAATTTGGGGTATACGAAAGGTTTCTGCCCTGAAATTGATGAAAAATTTTGTCAAATCCGATTATATTTTAAATATCAAAATGATGAGTCATTCCAAACATTGGAAGGGAAACTACTTTTTCATTCAATATTTTTCGATATAAAAAAAAAATTCATTTTTTTCAAAAGGTGTCAAATTTCAAAAATCCAGCTATTGACAAAAAATTATCCTCAATATAGTTTACCATTGCTTTCGAAGCAAAAACTATAATTATTATGAACAACAAATTTGCATTAAAGAGACTTGAGAACCATAATATCAAAAAACGATGAATCAATATTCTACAGGTCGATGAACAGCATACCTACTGTGAACTTCATTATTTTTCAATTGTCTTCATATCATAACTTGAATTGCTTTTATTTTCATCGATTGATTATAATGTTTTCTATGTTTTTTTAATGAATCATTTCAACGATATATATTTATCCAGTTCCCACAGTGAAATGAAATGAAATAGAGTATAAGTAGATGCAGAACTATAAGCTTGTGAAGTTGATTAGTGGATAATTCGAATGACCCTCTGTATAGTATTGGGCAAGATTGCGTGAAATGTATCATTCGAAAAATTAAAATCATAATGTTTTCGCAATCGCATTCCATAAATAATAGTATATTCTAATTCATGGGGAAATTCTCTTTGAATATTCATAAACAATCAAACAGGCAACAGGTATAACCTTTGAGTTACACCTTTGTCTTTCACTTGTTCCGATAATAACCATTCAATAGTTTCAGCTCAGCAGAGATAACATCATCATAACTGTCCATGCAACTCTTTTACCGTCTAAAGTAACCTTGGATCTCCTAATTACATACTTATTCTCTTGAAACTTGCTGCCAATTATACAAATTCTCGATTAATTTCAATATTCTCCTTGACAGAGAATTCTCGCAGCAGATTAATCATTTTCAAAAGTCACAAAACACTTGTTTCAGCTCCTTCTTAATTGGCTTTTATTTATCGTTGCATTGTCTACCATAATTGTTATTAGTTAATCTCTGATGATGATAATATTAATGAATCATGAATAGAAAAATGGCAATGAACTTACGAACCTTTGCTTATGCGTTTTCTTCATTATTTTATCTCAGTTTTTATGATAAGATCAAGAAAAGAACCATCAAAACAGAGAAAAATATGCTAAACTGTTAGTCGAATCATATCGAAGAATTCTTTTTATAGAACTGAAGAAAAAATTAATAACATTCGAACCATCAACAATGGGCGTGTACACCTTAGTAGAACTTTCAACTCAAACCATGTTTATAATGATCCTTTTATACATAAATAATGATTGACGACATAATTCGATCGAGAAATTTACTGGAATGTTTTATTTTTGGACATAAATAATAGTACCTTCTGAAAACGGACCCTCTTATGACGTAGAAACCTCATCTCGCCATAGTTAAAAGAAAATACCAAACGCCAGAGGGAGACTGAGGCAACTGATATGTTAATTCTTTCAATTGTGATATCGCGCTTATTCACTCTGTCAGAAATCATGTATCATAATAATGTAGTAAATAATGTCGAAATAAATGAAGAATATTCCCAAAGCTTCTGCTGCAACTATAAGCAAAAACACGACAAAATAGTTCGCGGTTGTTTTCTTTTGCGATGTTTCTGCAATTTACTGTGTTTTTTAGCTTAGTTCGACCATAGATGACCAATGATATTTTCGAATGCGGGTTATAAAAATGGTTTTTCGAAATTTCAGATTAATTTCACGGTATTCTTGCTTATAGTGAAAAGTTAAATATTGGAACTACCTATATGAAGCAGGTTCTAAGCCATTATTTGAGAAAAAATCAATATGCGAGGTTTTTGCTTAGCAGGACAGAATACAAATACTTTACTATACCAATCTCTATTCATTAGATATTGTTATTTTCAGACGAGCATTTGCGATTCCGTTGGGATCTGATGGCCGCCATGACAGTTGCAGCATGTATGATGTCAACTTCACGGAACTCCAATCACGTGGCTTGTTGGACAAGCCGGACCCCTCTTGGAAAGTGGTCGCTTGCAGACATGGCTGGGAGTACAACTACACCGAAGTACCATATTCATCTATATCGACAGAGGTAAATAACGATATAATAGCAGTGCTGATGATGACGCTGGGGATCCCAAAAAAAAACAGAAGCATCATCGAACCGGTCTGATCAGGAAAATACCTAAGTTTTAGCTGAATTTTAAATTTAAATCATAATAATTTCTGTATAATACCCACATTCCAGCAGCGTTAATTATTTGCATTTCATACTTTAAGCCGATTCACGATTCCATATTTTGAAGTCATTATACTTTATACTTCCGGTTAAAATCGCATTTCAACATTTAACTTTTCAGCGAAAAACGTTTACTACATGATTTCAACTTTGAAATACTCATAAGTGCCTCTGGACAGCTATCGTACTATCATCATTGCAAAACAATTTTGTAGCATAATACACATGCTTACTTAATTAAAAGATAAATGCATCTTCAGAAAGCTGAGCACAACATATTAGAGTTTCTCCACAAATTGAGTATACTCGTCATATCAGTGCCATTTGCGGTTTCGCAACTCTAGTTCATCAGGTTTCATTTAAGAAGATGATTAAAAAATCTCTTCTAGGTACAACAATTACTGTTGCTTGACTGATACGCAGATGCTTGGCATAAAAACCGCTTTTTCCCTATTTCGATGATGATTTTTTTGTTGGTCCATCCATTACCTGAAGTTGAACCAAGTTGTATTCCTTTTGTAAATTTTTTCCTGACTGTTAGCATAGTTATTCCAGGACATAAATGGACAAACCGTGCTTATATGCTTTAAAGTTTATGTATCCACTATCATATATTCCATAGTTTTTGATTCACCGCTTTCTAATCGATTTCTAGTTTGTTTTCTCCACAGCTAGTTTGTGTGTACGAAAATTCAGCTCTCTCTTATTCCACCGCCCAAGCCATCTTCTTCTGCGGCGCTATTTTGGGAAGCCTCGTGTGCTTATATGCTTCAAAGTTCATGTACTGTTGGCTTCTAGCACTCTCAGATACGCTACTGACCAGTAGAATGTACTTATGTCACTGACTGGCTATCACAGACATGTGCAAATGCTGGTTCGCTAGTGCTCGACGTGTAGTCGAGCTACTAATAAGAATAACCATAATCTAATATGTATATATACCCACCCAGTTTTTTTATTCACCGCGTTCTGATCGATTTCTCGCCTGTTTTTCTTCACAGCAAGACTGGGTGTGCGACAATTCAGCTCTCCCGTCTACCGCTCAAGCCATCTTCTTCTGCGGCGCCATATTGGGAGGCCTCGTGTTCGGCTGGATCGCCGATCGCTTCGGGAGGATACCGGCCTTGGTGGGTACCAACGTGGTGGGTTTCGTCAGCGGATGCGCCACAGCCTTCTGCGGCAGTTTTTGGGCTTTCTGCGTATGCAGATTCATCGTGGGGATGGCTTTCGACAATTGCTTCACCATGATGTACATCCTGGGTGAGTGAAAATAGTTTATGCTATGTTTATACACCAAAAGGTATTAAATGTATACCTAGAAAGTACCAAGATTATGTCCCCAATAACCTCAAGACGACGTCTTATTTTCTCCATCTCAATCACGTTATTAGACTGCAAATTCCACTCCTAATGTCTTCAAACTCCTGAATTGGAGCCAGCCTGGGTACATTTCTATATGCGAACGTAAAGGCACAGCCGCAAATTGTCACCAACAGTTCATTGTTAACATGCACACTATACTCTAAAAAATATATCTTACATTCTGGAATCAAGTTCCTTCTAATACATCCTCAAGAGAACTCTAAAATGTCTTCAGGTCAACCCTGATGGAATGTGAGAGGATATGTTTTAGACGTAATTTGCATGTAGAAGTTGGTCACAGGTAGACATCCCAGAAACGTCTTGCGGCTGCCTCTTGACATTAGCATCATTCAGAAAGTTTCTGAGAAGTCTTCAGAACGTCGTGTCTGGAGGATATCATTGGGATGTTCTGAGACTATATTTGAATGTAGAAATTGGTAACAGGTGGACTTCCTAGAGACGTTTGAAGTTTTGCGGATGTGTCTCGACATCATCAATCAAAAGGTTATCAAAACATTTTTTGTGTTATCTGAATAAGATCCTCATAAAAAATTCTCAAGACGACATGTTTCGACCAACGCTTAGCTTCTTTAAGTAGAAAACTCGTACAATAAATTAATCCAACAATGGCATCGTTTGTGATATTTTTGCAAATAATAATTTTGTTTTTAGTTTTGGAATATGTTGGGCCGAAATGGAGGACCTTCGTTGCCAATATGTCCATAGCGATTTTCTTCACTTTTGCTGCTTCAATTTTACCCTGGTTGGCGTATTACCTGGCTGATTGGAGGCTTTTGTGTTACGTCACTTCAGCACCATTGGCATTTGCTGTGCTCACTCCATGGCTTGTACCTGAATCAGCAAGGTAACGAAACAAGAAGCTATATGAATTGAATTATAAAATACTTTCAGAGATTTCAGATACCTCTATAATCTTCATCCAAAGATCTCCATCTTGATGAACGGGTTAAATGACGGTGATCAATGCTTTGTTTTAGATGGCTGGTTTCTCAAGGTCAAACCGATAAAGCGATTGGCATCCTCCGAAAATTTGAGAGAATCAACAAGACCAAAGTCGGTGAGAACATCTACGAGCAATTTAGGGTAAGTATCGTATAGATACACGATTTTTCGAATTCGACCATTTCTTGAATACTGTTCCCATATTCTGGTGGATCAGCTCCAGTTTGATAGAGCCAATTCCAAGTATAGGACTATCAGGCTCATCAACATTTAATTTAGAGAAGCTCGCCCTTAAACCGGCTTCCACAAAAAGAGTTCACCGATAAACTATACTTATGACGTCACTTTGAAAATCCTTTGAAATTGAAGGTTAATTCTTGCATCTTCGATGTGTGAAGATATAGTTCGTCTAGCGTACAGTGAATTATATACGAACATTTAAAAAACTTGTTCTGACAGTTGTGACAACTATTCAAAGCTGAACAGCAGCCAAGTTTTGGTCGATTTTTGTTGATTCTCCATGGAAATGTATGTGGTGTTGGCAAAGTGCCGTGAGAAAAGTAACTTTTTCACACGCTCGAAAATATTTCATGTGCTCAAAAAATTCCCTGCAATAATGTTTTCCCTAGGGGGATAATGAGTGAATATCCTGTGCTGTATGGGTTAATACATATGCTTCCGAACTTTTTTCACAGAGTTCTTGTGCCAAGGCCCAGAAGGAAGAAGACGCAGACCGAACGTACACCGTCCTGGACCTGTTCAAAACTCCGCGCCTGCGCAAGATCACCGTCGTCCTCATCGTCCTCTGGATGGCCATCTCGCTGGTGTTCGACGGTCACGTGAGGAACGTCGAGACGCTCGGATTGGACGTCTTCTTGACCTTCACCGTCGCCAGCGCCACAGAATTTCCTGCCGACACTTTTCTGACGTTGGTGCTCGACGTGTGGGGCAGAAGATGGTTGGCTTCCGGGTCGCTGATTGTCAGTGGGGTGTTCAGTTTGCTGGCAACCACGGTACCCATGGGTGAGTTTCGAATCATTGAAATAGTTTTGAAAAAGAATATTCTCAGATATATTTATGAACACAAAAAAATGGATATACAGGGCTTTCATTTCAAAACTTACCACCCTGCATATCTTTGGATCGGCGAAAATTACAGTTTTCGGAAAAACCAAGTCCATTTAGATGTCGAGGGGGAAGTGAAATGCCAGTATCATTCTATGTTCATCCCCAGACACCCCTATTTTGAAATCTCAAATGGCACCTCCTACTTTGAGATACATAAAATGTGAACATACTCCTCGCAGGAAGCGATTTTACTAAATATACTGCACGCTAGCACAAACCACGCCCACCATAATACGACATATCTCCAAACATTACCGATATACTCGGAGTCAGCACATCGCACTAAATAATATACTGTGCTCCAACGCAAGAATACACTTTTTATGATTTTGACACGAATTCGACTGAAGCTCTCTTGTTGTCAATCTCTTGTACGCAGTAAATTCATATACCCAAATGGTCTAATGGTTAGCGCTGTCGACTTTCAGTCTGAAGTTCCATGGTTCGAATCGTTGTGAACTTGAACTGTTTCTTGCAACTTTTTTTTCACCAATGTTTTTTTACTTCATTCTGGTTCTTCTTTTCCAGAAAATATTTGAAGTCAAATAGGTTAGTGCGTTTAGGATAGACAGTCTCATTTTATTCAATTTTGTTGAAGAACTTAACTTTTGAAATATATTATTAATCAATGTGTTTCTACACTATATTCTGGTTTTCCTTCCTCAAAAATATTGCAATCAGGGATAGGTTAGTTCGTTAAGGATAAATAGTCTCTGAGTTTTGCCTAAGTACTTCGAAGATGAGATATTACGGTGGGCGTGGTTTGTGCTAGCGTACAGTATATTTAGTAATATCGCTACCAGGAATGACCATCTGGAGTTTTCGTCCTCTTCACAGGGTGAACAAGACGCCAGTTTCCTGGAGAACATCTGTTACAATGTTAAATCAACGTTTCATTTGAACTGCTTTGTTAATAAACATAATTGAAGATTCTGGGACAATGAAAATCCACACATATTTCGACAGGACCATACTCAGTTTCCTGAGAAAATCAATGTGTGGGCTAGTATTCTAGGAAATGAGATAATTGGACCACTCTTTATTGAAGACAGTTTAAATGGACAATTGTATCTGGATTTATTAGACAATACACAATCTTTAGAGAGGCCAATCGATGATCATGAAAATATGTTGCTGGACGAAAATAACCTCTTCTTTCAGCAGGATGGAGCTCTATCACATGGTTTTCTAGAGGTGAGAGAATGGTTGAATCAATGATTTTCTTGGCAGTGGATTGGCAGAAGAGGTGCCATAGAATGGCCAGCAAGATCTCCAGATTTGACATCTCTTGACTATTATCTGTGGGGTCACTTGAAAACAATGGTTTATAAAATTCCACCAGAAGATATTGATGAACTCAAAAGAGTAATCATTCCAGAATGCAGACAAATCAATCGGAAAACGTTTCAAAAAGTTCGTGAAGAATTCGAAAATAGTAGGGTATACCATTCTCAGCTGGATGAAGCATCAACACATTTCGTTCTGATTGACAGAGAAGATGTCATTGTTCACTGAAACCATATCCATAGTGAACTCTTTGATAGCTGGCAATATTTCACAAGTATACGGTCCTGGATTTCTTTCAATTCTGTATACGTTAGTCTATCGGTGTTGGAGTGCCTAATGTTGCATGAAGAAATGAAATAAATCAAAGAGGCTGTTGGAAAGTTGTGACAAAAATATTTTTTCGCTCATTCCTATAAATCACCCTGTTTATTATATATTGCAGAAGAGGAGGAAAACTCCGGATGGCTTTTAGATATTCCCCTCAGGGGCCTCTGTTCGTGGTAGGAGTATTTACAGTACCTCATGACTCACCCTGTATACGAAATAAATAGGTATGTTTTCACCTAGTTGATTTGATAAATGATAGACCTTCAATTTTAAGGGGATGAACAAAGCATTCAATTGATACTGTTATTCCACTTCCTCCTCGATATCTAAATCGAGCTGTTTTTGCCAAAAATTGTAATCTTCGCAGGTCCGAAGATATGCAGGGTGGTAAGTTTTGAAATGAAAGCCCTGTATATGAAGGAATACATTATTGGGAATTCGCATTCTCCATGTGATGAAAATATTGATTCTTTCTCGGTTTATTCAAAAGAAAACAACTACTTTTCTGGCTTTATGCCACGACGAACATTGAATTACATACACGATGATAATCGTGGCATATAGCCAGGAAAGTGTTTTCTATTGAATAAACCGAGAAAGAATTGATATTTTCATCCCATAGAGAACGCGAATTTCTGAATGTATTTCTTTATATATTTATCCATTTTTTTTTTTATGTTCATCATTATATATATCTATCAATTTTCATTCCCAATTGCATATAGCAACAAACTTTTCCTGCCTAGGCAGCAGAGAAAGTACTAACTGTCAGTTTATCATCTGTTTTTGTTTATTGTTTGGTTTTACTAGTTTTAGTGGTACCGGGTCTTCAACAATGATTAAACACCACGTGATCATTTTTAATGCGGCGTCTCTTTTCCACCCACGTTAAAGAGATACGAATGTATTCTTGGTTGCATAGTTATCTGTCACGTGGTGTTTAATCATTCTTGAAGACCCGTTATAATACCTCAAGTAATACCAATATATTGAATAAGAAATTTATCATCTGTAACAGAAATATATCACAGATAGGAACTATAGGTACCCATTTACCTACTTCAAATTCCAGAAAATTGGATCAATTCGCTACGTAAATATTTACAATGAATCAAATATTTATTTTCATCAATAATATGATGAAATAATATCTCGTTGAAAAATACTTCCTATGAATCTATATTTATCTCTGTAGTATAATGTGTTTTCTTATCAATTATATACAGGGTGTATCTATAATTAACACTGAAAACCTTCAAGGGGTACTGTTTCCTAATGACATTGTAATATGACGATTTGGTGATTAGCTTTGACCCTTTTTCGATATATTTTTTTCAGGAATAGCATCTGCTACCTTGGCCATATGCGGAAGATTTGCCATCAATATCTCTTACAACATCGGGCTGCAGTATGCTGCTGAAATTCTGCCAACTGTAGTTAGGGCACAAGGAGTGGCACTTATTCATATAATGGGATATGTGGCCAGTATTATTGCACCATTTGTAGTATATTTGGTAAGCATATGATTTCAAATGGACCATTGAATCATCAATTTCGAAATTGAAGAACTTCATACCTATCTAATTTTATTGAATTGAACTCCAAATTTGAATCAATGAAAAAAATTTACTTTTTCAATCGAGTAAAATTTTGAATAGGACACATGAAGATGATGGTACTTATTATTCTTCATCCATCGGGATATCTACTATTACGAACTAATTTTTCTAAATACTGTCTATGAAAACGTGTTTCAATAGTTTTTCAAACTACTATTTATTACAATAGCTGATGCTGATATACCTGGCAAACGTCGTTTGGCTATATACATTATTTCTTCTTGAAAATATTTTTTTTAGTTAAATATTCATCAGCACGCTTCTATTATTTTGTTTTGAACTTCTTTTTAGTTTGGATATCCATAAAATCGTGTTTCATTAGTATTTCAAACTAAAATTTTTATTTTCTACTTCTTTTTGGTTCGACAATCTATCTCGTTTTTTAAACTATACTATCAATGTTCTACTTCTATTCAGTTTGGCCTCGGGTTTGACTATCTATAAAAGCGTGTTTCATTATAGTTTTTCAAACTCCTATTTATTCCAAATCTCTTTCACCATATTGGATCCGCCATCTTGAATTTCCCAATTTTGAAGAATGAAATCATAATCTCCGACCCCGAAAACCCCCAGATACAGATTTTGAATAGAATCGGATCATAATTATTACAAAACTCGTCCGCCATATTGGATCCTGCATCTTTAATTTCCCCATTTTGACAAATGATTCATATCTCCGAACTCTAAAACCTCCAATTACCAATTTTGAATAGAATCTGACCATAATTACAAAACTCGTCCGCTATATATTGGATCCGCCATTTTGAATTTCTAAATTTCGACGAACCAACCATAATCTCCGACCTTGAAAACCCTCAGATACCAATTTTGAATATAATTGGATCATATAATTACAAAACTCATCCGCCATATTGGATCCGCCATTTTGAATTTCCTAATCTTGATGAAGAAATCATAATTTCCGACCTCGAAAAACCCCAGATACCAATTTAGAATGGAATCTGACCATAATTACAAAACTCGCCCGCCATATTGGATCCGCCATTTAGATTTTCCAAATTTTGATGAAAGAGTCATAATCTCCGACCCCGAAAACCCTCAAATACTAATTTGGAATGAAATCGGATAACAATACTCGTTCGCCATATTGGATCCGCCATCTTGAATTTTCGATTTGAAAAATAGATTACGACCGATTCTCATACCTACCGAATACGCACAAAAAATTTCATACGAATCGGTCGAGCTGTTTCGGAGGAGTTCGACCACTAACACCTTGACCGGGACAGGAGAATTTTATATATCAGATTATTTTATGTTCAGTTATATTCGATTGAATTTTGTACACATAAGAAGCTATTTTTTTTGTGCCCAAGACAGCCAAAGGAAACAAATCAGAAAATTCTCAGATATAATAATTATGAACATAAAAAAGGATATAAATATAAAGAAATACATTGAGAATTCGCATTCTCTATGTGATGAAAATATCAATTCTTTCTCGGTTTATTCAACAGAAAACAACTACTTTCCTGGCTATATATACTTTCACCCAATCAATAAGGGGTTCAAACTTGAACGATAGGAACTTGTTATTTTTATACATCTCAATCGCAGATTCGTGATTAGTTTCTCTCAATTCAGAATTTCTTTCCACGTCCTGTATGATGAATATATTAATTTATCATAGATTCAGAAACAAATCAGGTTGCTCACATTTTCTCATTCCTTCATTTTTCGTAAATTTCAGGCTAATATTTCCGCATCGTTGCCACTTTTCATCCTAGGGGTTTTGGGTATACTAGGAGGAATTTTAGCTCTATTTCTGCCCGAAACTCTCGACCAAGAGCTGCCACAAACACTCCAAGATGGCGAGAACTTCGGACTGGGTCAGAAAATGTGGGACTTTCCTTGCATCAAGTAAGTCAAACGAAAAAAAAAGACAAAAACTGTTTTTATTTTTTTTTTTCATTTTTTGTTTTAGTCAAAAGGTTCCATCGACACCAGTCACACCCAGGTTCTGCAGGACTTCATCTTTGAGAGCCTCGTTCAGAGGAGAGGTTAGGTCAAGCATGATCAACAGGTCTTCGATTAGATCAAGGAAATTGCCAGAAAACGAAGCCGTTTAATAGAAAACGATTTTTTCTTGAAGTTGAGCTGTGATATGATAATTCGTTTCCAAAAATTCAAATATTTGTTTCATTTAATACTCTTTTTCAGAAAGTACAAAAATGTACGTGAATCAAATTCAAATTCTTGAACGGAATTCAATTCCCAATATCCCATTATCGTGAAATATGAATGTATATATATGTATAATTAAGTAAGGTGATGTAATTGGACATCAATGTCGAAAAGCAGTTCCTTGCTATTTCCTCCTAGATTAGATGAATCTTAAATTTTATATTATTTAAAAAATTATTATTTTAATTTATTCTTTTATTAATTTATAAGTCACCATAAAGTATTGTGTCTGTGTGTAGTTTTATCTCATATTCATTAACATCCTCTAACATCATGTGGATAATTCTGGATATATGAATACAAGGTGAACAAGAAAAAATTCAAAAAATTTACCTAATATTCATAATAAATCATTCAATTACTCATAGTTTTAGTATGTTTTAGTATTATTTTATGTAAAACGACACTTCTTAGTGTGTAAGGGTACCCACATTATAAAATTCTCAGGAAAATATACAAATTGAAAGAATATTTATTGAGCCAATTTATTTCACTATATATCACAAACCCATATTCATACTTTTATATACAGTTTCGGAATTGTTTGTATACAAAAATAAACTCACATTCACTTTAGGAAAAATATAAGTGTGAACAGGAAGTATGGCAAAACTTTGAAACATTATTCGATCAAAAATTTTAAATTTTTTGCATAAAATTTCTGAATATCTTCATCAACCAATTTGATGAGTTTTTACCACATGTTCACAAAGTAAACACTAGATATATCAATAGATGCAAATATTCATATTATTAAAAAAGAAAAATCGATATGATATACAGGGTGATCCACGGTGAATGGCCTATTAGAAGTATCTGGAGAACTAAAAGACAGAACATTCTGAAAATTGGGATGCTTCGATAATTGAACATTTTCTATCCATCTGAAATATTTTCATCGATACAGTGTTGCCTCTTCTATCAGAAACAGTTAGCAACTTTGTTATTTCAAATGGAACACCCTGTATTCTATTACATTTTTAGATTCTTCCTAAAGATCTGATTTCATCAATATATCACACTTGGGTTCTAGCAGGAATGATTACAGAGACATAGGGTGAAAATCGAGATTTTTCAATTTTAGGATTTTTTTGTGTTGAAACTATTCATTATCGATCAAAACGGCTTACATGTCCCTATCTCAAATTTCGATTCACTATTTACACTGATATTTAATTGGGTGATCAGAATTCTGAATCTTGAAGCACCCTGTATTTTTTCCAATTAAATTCCAGTGGATAGTGAATCGAAAGTTAAGATAGGGACATGTTAGCCGTTTTGATCGATAATGAATATAGTTTCGACACAAAAAGATCTTAAAATTGAAAAATCTCGATTTTGAACACCCTATATCTTTGTAATCATTCTTGCTAGACCCCAAGTGTGATGAATTGATGAAATCAGCTTTTCAGGAAGAATGTGAAAATGCAATAAAATACAGGGTGTTCCATTGGGAATAACAAAGTTGCTAGTTGTTTCTAATAGAAGTGGAAACACTCTGTATCGATGAAAATATTTTAGACGGATAGAAAATGTTCAATTATCAAAGGATCCCAATTTTCAGAATGTCTTTTGTTCTCCAGATACTTCTAATAGGCCATCCACCGTGGATCACCCTGTATAATGAGAAATGGAATAATACACCGAATATTTTCTCAATACATGAATATACGCCATAATCTACCATTTTTTCTAATAATTCTATGTACATTTTCAGTCTATTTTTATTTACAGTAGATAATAATGCATTATATGAGATAATGAAACAATCGGAATGATAAACTGTGAAAATTATGTCTTCTCAAGTTTTTTTTTTATTTTGAGTCTGAAACTCCTCGAATGGATTATTTCAATAAGTAGGTCAGCATCAACTTCAAAACAGTTCATCTTCAAAATGTTACTAAAACCCAATATTAACTTTTCGAACGTTCACGGTTTATCAGTCCAATGCGACCAAGTTTTGATCACCTCGTAGAAACTCTTCCCAGGGCTTTCAGTGGCGTGCAGCTGCCTGGCAGCCATGATTTTATAGTCCTTCGTCAGGTATCCCGATTCCACCCCTTTTTCAATCAACTTGTGAAAGGAATTGATCATATTCGAGGGGGGTGGCTCTTTTATGAAGGTGCCGATGAAAGCTACCCCGATACTCTGGTTGTTGTAGCTGAAAGTGTGGGCACCCTCTTTTTTCCACCCTCTGCCTGGAAAAGTACAAAAGGTCAACTTACACTCAGTATATAGTGCGAACTTGGTTGAAATACTTATATCGCACATATACAAAAAAAAAAAACGACGTAAAACATTATTGTAACAACTTTATATTCAAGTTCTGGAATAATTCCAATATACTTCTTATCTTTTTATTTATTAATCATAATATTCACATGTTTTTACATTATCCATGGATATCATCATCCCTAATACAGGGTGACAGACATATTCTGAGGAATATAAAATTCCTGATCTAATATCCCCACAAACATGATCATCCATTTGGTAATTCTTGATGATTCACATTTCCTGTGGTTGGACAATATGATCTGATTTGTTTACTTGATAATCTTGATATTTTTTTCATGATCTGGTTCCCACGAAAAGGGATATCCTGTAATGTTCAGAGAACATCGTGAGAACCAAGGGAAATAAGGTAGGTGTTCTTCTTAAATTTCTGAAGGTTATATGACTCGGGGAACACCTCCCTTGGCAATGTGTTCCAGAGCCTCGCTGTTCGTTGGATGAACGTGTCTTTGGAAAGAGATGTTCTGGAGGTCTCCAAAGTGACCACGAAGGGGTGCGAAGCCTCAACTCCATACGGGAGGACTGCCAAGGGAGGAACAATTGTTGATATTTTAGAAGATCATCGTCAATGAAAATATTTATAGAATAGAGCCAGATCGCCAACTTCTCTACGGTGTTCCAGAAAAGTGAGTGAGTTTGTGAGCGAAGCATCGCCCACGAGACGAATTTCCCTTTTTTGGACAGAATCCAACAGTTTCAGGGTATGTTTGGGTGCTGCACTGCAAATATGGGAACAGTATTCCAGGACAGGTTGGATCTCTGCCTTATAGATCATAAGCAGCTGACTGGAAGTGAAATAGCTCCTGGCCCGAAACAGAAAACCAAGTTTTTGGGATGCACTTTTAGCAATTGATCTCACGTGATTTTCCCAAGAAAGGTTATTGCTGATAGTTATACCAAGCCTCGAAATGGATGTCTTAAAAGGTATGGTTATTACTATCCTGACAAGCTTATGTTGGGCACAGTGAGATCACTGAGATCGGCTTTTCTAGAGAAAAGGCATGCTTGTTTTTTGTTTGCATTGAAATCTACCAAATTGGATTCCCATTCGAGAATAATTGTTGCCAAGTCCATATTTATGTTGTCAACATTTCTCCCTCGTTCGTTTCTGATTTGCCTGGTATTGGAGCCCTGGAAGAGAAGGCGGTATGGAGGGTACTATCATCCGCGAAGCTGTGTACTGGACATGAAGTTGCTTCCACCAAATCGTTGATACGGAGAAGAAATAGTGTTGGTGCTAGAATTGATCCTTGCGGAACACCAGCATTTATGATAAGAGAGTCAGATGAAACTCCGTCGACCACTATACATGGAAAGACCTGTTTGAGAGAAAACTGGCTAGCAGAGAACATAGCTGGGGAGGCAAGCCATAATAAGATGGAAGTTTGGCGATATCAAGTGCCACGGCTAAAGTTTCACCATATTTTTCAATAGATTGCTGCCATATACGTGTGACGTAAGCGAGCAGGTCACCAGTGGATCTCTGATGACGGAAGCCATATTGCCTATCGTTGATAATACCTGAATATTCTTGGTATATCATGAGCTCGATGTTGATAGCTTTAACAGTAAACTTCTGTGTCTTGGTTATCAAATTATTAAGTTTTTCTATTTTTTGTGAATATTTTTCGTAGATTGAGGAGGGGCTTTGAGGGGAGGGTAATTACCCCGTCTACCCCCCCCCTTAGATACGCGCCTGCTCCAAACCTACCCTCGTAAACATCCCCATCGCCGCCCACCAGGAAATTGTACCCGATGTCGAACCAGCCGTTGCTCTCGATGTGGAAGGTCTGTATGTGCCGAGTCTGGAAGACGCACTGGGCGTGCGAAGAGCAGCTCTCGGTGGCCGTGTGGTGGACTATCACCAGGGGCACGGGCAGCCGCAGCGGGTCGGTGGGCTGCAGCGGAGGCTGCGCCAGCCACTGCAGCCGCGAGATCACGTGGACTTTTCGGCTCAGGGTGGCGTTCGAGTCTGAGAACGGAAACAGAAGATAATTTGTTGTATATTTATTTATTTATACATAAAACATCCAACAGGCCGGAGCCCAATTACAGGAGTATATAATAATAATAGTAATAATAATTACAATAAATTGAGTAGTTGATTAGTAGGTGAACAAATGAACATATATAACTAGTCCAGAATAAGAGTGTTCAATTGCTTTCTGAACTGGATTAAATTTGAAAAAAATATATCTACAGACGGCACATTATTTATATTTAGGCTTCTACACATAGATGTGATTGGACTATTGAGGTGATGTTGTGAATTTGGAACATCGATTCGGAAAGTCAGGTTTGATCTTGATGTTGAAACTCAACTCAGTGTGGCTAAAAGGGGTGCCAAATCTATTTGATTATTTATTAATTTATATGCAAATATCATATGTATGCTATTTCTAGTCGTTTTTTCAAGCGAACAAATGCAGATTCTTCTAGTAGCAAATCGTAATCGCAGTGACGTTCATGATAAATATTATATTTTTTGAAAAACAAAAATTTCAGAAATTTTTTTGTACTGTTTCCAATGCTTGTATGTTCCATACCGCACCGCAGTATTCAAGCTTGCTACTTACAAATGCAGTAGTAAATAGAACAAAGAGCTCTAAGATTCGTAAATTCTTTACAATTACGTATGAGGAAACCTAGAGCCCTATTGGCATTGGATTACATTTTTTTCAATATGTAAATTGAATATTAATTTGCTGTCAAATATCCAGATCTTTACATTCGCTTACCCTGCGTAGTTTACCATTTTCGATGAAATATTCAAATAAAAATGTAGAAACTTTTCTAGAATCGCTCATAATTTTGCATTTCTCAATATTCAGGGGTAAATTATTTTCAGAATACCATTTGTAAAGAAGATTCAGATCATTTTGCAGACGCAAACAATCTGCAATATCTGTAATTTCTGTAAACATTTTCATGTCATCTGCAAAAATGAGTTTGTTATATAGAAGAGGCCCCAGATTCGATCCTTGAGGTACTCCTGAATGAGCTATGAAGTTGATAGATTGTACACCTTCATAGTCGACGAATACATTCCTATCACAGAGGTACGATTTCAATAGTAATTGGGTGTTAAGGGGTTAATCGAGATTTTTCAAATTTGGGATTTTTTTTTGTCAAAACTATTCATAGTGGTCAAAACGGTTTCCATGTCTCTATCTCAACTTATTATTCACTATCAACTGATATTCAAGTGAAATATGTACAGGCGGTGGTTCAGAATTAAGATTTTCAACCACCCTGTATCTATTTCAATTAAATATCAATTGATAGTACATGAAAAGTTGAGATAGGGACATCTTTTGAATAACTATCTACTGACTACTGACATTTAATTGGAACACATACAGTGTGATCAGAATTCTTAATTTCGAACCACCCCCTATTCGTTTCAATTAAATGTCAGTAGATAATAAATCATTCCATCGTTCCATTTAAGAATTTATACATCTTGCCCATAACTTTTTCTTGATAAGTTCAATTATTTTTCTGTTAACATATTCAATATCTACAGGAGAAATTATAAAATACTTTTCATTGGAAAAATAAATTCGATGATAAATAAAATAGTTAAGGGGAGGTTCAAAATATACGTGAAGACCCTGTACCTACACATACTTTGACACTTTGAGGGCTTGTCAAGACTCAGTAAAATTACTGACCCAAAATTTTGCTAAGCAGGTTCCTTACGCTGGGAGAGGAAAGACCTCAGGACAAACCGAGAGCCCAAAGATACACAGAGGATCTAAAAGCTAGCCTATGAAGTCTTATATAGAGAAGGCGGGACTAGTCAAGAACTCTATACGATTTTGAGGGAGACAAAAAAGATCTGAAAAAGTTGCGGTGTGGAAGCCCGAAGTCCACATTCTAATCTAATCTGATCTAATCTATTGAATAAGTAGGTACTGATACTTCTAATTTGTGAAATTGTGATAGAAAAGCTATATAAGTAGAATTATTCTAAGTAACGTAATTATTCCTAACGATGTCTAGAAATACGTGATGTAGTTAAAGATTGTGAATATTTTATTCACTTTGTTTTAGTATTTAGATGTTTGGTAATAATTATGTAAGTAATTCGTGAAATTATGATAAATATCCTCGTGAATACCGGTTTATTAAGATATATTAGTTAGAAGGCTATTAGTAGAATTCTTCAAAGTGTAACATAATTATCCTCAATGTTAATGATGTCTAGAAATGTCTGGAAAATACAAGTGATGTGCGGTTATGGAATATTGTGACTGTTTTCTTTACAATTTTTATTCCAAAACAAATCTCAACTCATAATTTCATATACCCATCAGCAGGTAACCCCCAAAACCAATAATTTACCCCCTTGTATACTATTTGTTGCAATTCTGAATAGATACTCATTTCAATTATTTATCATTATAATGATATCGTTCAATAATGTACGAAGCATTTTCGTGAATAGCTGGAAAATAAATATATAGTTTCCATAAAATTCATTATCAACTTCATCAATGGCCCCCCACTTGGGTATCTACCTATACATATATAGTTAACGAGTGGAAATAATGTATATAAATAAATAAAATAATTATGATAATTATGAGGTCACATAAGGTAGAACCAGAAATGCTTTAATTATTATCAACTGATTATGAATAAATGTTCAGAGCTTAGCAATATGTGCACTGCATTTTTTAATGTTTCCATAATTTCATATAAGCGTACGACAAAAAATGAAACGGACTTTTGAAAGGAAGAATCATCATTCGTTGATACGTCTTTGATTTTTGTTGTTGTTGAAACTTCAAATAATGAGAAATGTGCGGTATACGATAATGATATGACGATAAATGCCAGTATATTATTTATCGATATTTCAAAATAAACACTTTAATCATATTATTGATGTGATCAATTCATCTACTAGATGAAGTAGAAACCTGCTAGGGTTCAATAATTCCATACGACATATTGAATTGAATTTGTCGAAAAACCTTCCAAACCAAACCCAATTTCAGAAGTAATCAAGAGGACGACATTTTGGTGTTGAATTTGGAAATCAAAAAATATATTGAAATCTGATCAGCAGCATGTATTACTAAAATGATTATACACAATTATCTACCGTGAATATTAATAACCACCCTTTATAATGTTCATAACAATAATTTCCTTATGAGAAAACTGTAAACTTCAACACCTGATATCTCAGAGTAACAAAGCATTTAAGAGCATAGGTTCAAGTGTTTCGGATTCCTGAAGTATAAGTCATTAAAGCCTGATCACCCTGTAAGTATACTGGGTCATCAGAATGTATAATAGGAGACGACAAAACAAGCCTAAATGAAAGAATACATTTTTGTAAAAAAATGTAAACCATTGATCAGAGGTTAATAGCCGTTAATAGCCTAGCCCGAGCGTTAGCTTTCGGCGAGAACACAAGCACCGGAAGTATCCATGACTTTTGCGATGTTGATAGACGTAAAATAATAGTTGAAAGATTCAGTAGGGTGGAAGCGCAGATTTTTAGAAAAAAATTCGAAACAATTTTTTTCTGTGATTTATCGTGTGATTCAATTTTGGAAACACCGTGTATATATACTCACCAGAGGAATACTCGATAGGCGTGTTGTTATCCTCTTCGTCCACATCATGGCGTACTATAGGCTTAGAAATCGGAAACCTCCACAATACAACTGCCAGAAGAATCGCAACCGATACTAGCACTATCGACCCTATAATGGCCGTTTCTATAGGCCTGGTTCGAGAAAAATTGCACAGCCATCGAACCCCTAAAAAATAATAAATCGGTTATTTTCCGCCCGAGTAGGTATCAGGGTACATGGATTCCCCCCACTCCCCACTTCTTCGCTTCCCACGTGACTCTCCTCCCAGCCAATCGAATGTGACATCGCGTCAGGCGTTTTGCCACGTCCACGTGAAAATATTTGGAAACGTCATGAGACGATGGAATATCGATTATTCGTCAAACGGATGAAAATTTACCAGTATCTTTCAATCTACATGATTGTGATATGACAACAACTTCGTTGTCGTTCAATTGTTTCATGACCTGTTTCGACGTGTTTTAATGGGATGAAAATCACTCAAACAACTTTGAAATTTTCTTGAAACCTTCACAAACGATAAGATTTCAATGAGATTCTTAATCACACAAGCTTCTGCTTTCGTCAGGATGACCAGAATGGATAAAATAAAAAACGATTTTAGATTTCTTGCAAAAAATAGACCCCTTTTTATTTCGATAAGAAAGCAAGACACTGTCCGAAATGATGTTCATCTTCGAAAATCTGATTATACATGGTGATTCATTTGGAAATGCGCATACAGTAAGGATAGATGGAGGACACCAAGGTGCTTCTGACTAATATATATTTATTATTATACATATATTATTGATTTCTTCCATTTTTTCAATAATTAATCATTTAACTTATGAACCACCATTAAGAATTTGCTTCTGAATGCGTATAGCGATGACACTTTTTGGAATAATTATGTATGTTTCATTTTGTAAACATTTAACAGATAGGTATACTATATTCAGAAACTATTATTCAAAATCTAGAAGGTTGTGATGATACAAAGACCCCAGCATTATCCTTTACACTTGTGCCTGTGTATTTGAAACCCTTCATAGAAATCATATAAAAGTTTACACATGGGGGTTTGAAACCATGAAGAACAATATTATGAGTTATGAGGTCCGTTTTCCTGTAAAAAAATCCGAAGATGATTTCATAAAAAAATTACACCTTCTCATTTCGATAAAAACGTACGGCACTGTCCAGAAGGATGTTTGTCTTTGAAAAACTGATCATATTGATGATTATTCATACTGATCCAAATTTGGTACGAATCGTACGACTAATAGCTAAGATATATAGAGGGGTGGGGGGGGGGGTGTTTGACAGGACGCCCCGATTCCAGTAGTGCAAGCGGTTTTTTTTTTCTCTAAATGAATGTGATCTGGTAGGCCTTGGTTTTTTGATAAAAGTGGACGCCACTTAGCTCCAAGACACACATTTCCTCACTGTATGTACATATAAAAAAACATCGTGAGAATCGCCCCATAATTGAAAATTACTCTGTATATTAGAATTAGAAACAAAACTTCTCTGGACATACAAACATAACGTCAATACCCATATAGCACTCGGCGTTCTGGGAACGTCCATTTTAGGTCCAATTTAGGTCTGAACGTCCCGGACCTTTTCAAGACGTACTGAAAACGTCCATTTCTAGACGTACTGGGTTCTTAATATTATCCGATATACTGAGTTATCGACTTTTTGTGGACGGGATTGAATAAATAGTATGATGATGATTGAAATCATTGCATATAATTTTTATGCTCGATCTCTGATTTTTTTTTATTCATGTAGGAACCGTGCAAACATGGACATAATACAATTCTCACAATTTATTTTTTACTGGCTGTACTTAATCACGAAACATCTATCTTGGTATTCTCTGCTGTGATCATCTAAACAATCTAAACTAACTCTATGAAAGTCTCAATGTGAAGGGTCAATCAATATATTAATATGTCTTCTGCAGAGTAATGTAGGTCCTGGGATCGATCCCCGGTAGGAGCGCATTTTTTTTAATTTTTTTATTCACAATAAGATCTTTTCTACTCTGTCTAGTTCTCTTTTTCAACTATCTCTGAGTAGAAAGAGGCGAATTTACGTTGATTCAGGTATTCATGGTCCTGAATGAACGTACTGTGGGGTGATATGATTCAATTTGATATGAGCTGTAGTTTTGTAGCATCTTATCACACTCAGCATACCTTTCCCAAACTTCCTCTGATGAGGTTGCCGAACTTCTACCCCTCCCTCCACGTCCCCATTGTCAACCTCCTTATTGTGTTTCGTCTCCCCCACACACTCACTCGCGAAACACACATTATCCACCCCTTCACTGCTCTCATCCCCCCCACTTTTCACGAAACCGTTCACACCGTCCGGACAAACGTTCCCGTTGGGGTAAACGAACTGTTTTATGGTCACGGGACCCTTGTATACTGTCTTGTTGCCAAAATGGACGTCATTGGAGTTGACCACGGACACGGTGCCGAAATGTGGCAATGTTGGTTGGCCGGCGACAGCGATGATGGCACCGTCGCATTCCTCGTATTCTTCTTCTTCGCCTTCTTCTTGGCACGAGGCGGTGCTGATGGTGTCCACCTAGGGGTAGAAACAGGGGAAAATGGGTTGAGAATTCAGAAAAAATACAAACGAAGATCTGGGTATACAGGGTATGTCAAGATATACGAGCTTACACTATCTTTATATCGAGAATCAGTCGAGAGGAATCTATGAAAATGTGCATGCTCATATTTTAGAATACGCTCTCCTCATTTTAAATATTTTCGACAATGCAGTGCGTTGTCGCTCCTACTAGAAAGTAGTAGCAATACCCTGTATTCTATCGCATTTTTAGATTCTCCCTGAAGAGCTTATTTCATCGATATATCACACTTGGGAGTCTATCCAAAAAGATTTCAGAGATATATAGGGTGTTCAAAATCGAGATTTTTCAACTTTATGATTTTTTTGTGTCGAAACTATTCATTATCGGTCAAAACGGTAACATGTCCCTATCCCAACTTTTGATTAACTAATTTACTGATATTTAATCGGAACAGATACAGGGTGGTTCATGATTCAGAATTCTGTGCCACTTTTTTGTGAAACTCAAGATGACCACATCAGATATTGCATAACTGTTTCCGTTTATGAGATACAGATTAATTTTGAAAATATATACTCTTCGAATCCTATAGAAAATTGTATGCAGAATTCAGTGCCGCACTCAAATTTTTGTTTTGCGGGGTATGGTTTTGGTGATACGACTCAAACAAACTGTATTTCATAAGCTCAATAAAATCCTAATTTTTTACCTTCAGAATGCTATGTATAATGTACTCGGTAATGTATATGAATATGCGAAATTCTCCAAAAACGCTCTAAAATCACTAAAACATTTAATTTCAATAGTGGGCTATGGATATTTCATATAAAAAAGTTCCAATTGAAGGAATATCTCTTTAGATTTTTCCATGAAGACATAGATTAAACACATGAAGAGCACCAAACAATACCAATACTTTTTAACTAACAAAACACAAAACTTTGGTACCTGATAGCAACAAATAAGTAGTAATAAAATAGAGTAGCGCTGGATTGAATATTTACTGAAATAATTGAATTTCAAAATTATTCAGTAATTTATTCATTCAATTGTCCAAGTTTTCCTCACACACTTTCTCAATACCTCTTATGCATTCAAATTAAAGGATGTCCGAGAGGATATCTTTGTAATTTCTGGAAAACTGCCTCTGTTGTTTTGCACGAAGTTTTGTGTTTTGTTTAGTTTATTAGAGTTGGTATTGTTTCTGTCCTTTCCATGGAAAAATCAGAAGGAATATTCCTCCGATTGGAACGTTTTTTATATAAAAAATCCATAGCCCACTACTATAAAAGTCAATGTTTTAGAGATTTTGGAGTGTTTTTGAGAATTTTATATCTATACATTATATATCATTTTGAAGGAAAGAGAATAAGAAATTTGAGAGCTTTTGAAATACAGGGTGTTCGATTTGGAAAATTATAAGTTTGAGTCGTATCTCCAAAACCATATCCCGAAAAAAAAGTTTTCATGCTTCACTGGAATCTTCGTGAAATTCTCTATGAGATAAGATTTCAATTTGACATTTTCGCTGAGAAACTTTGTAAATATAGAGGACCTCCAAAAAGTTTGACTTTCCTAAATCTCCCTGTATCTCATAAAAGGGATCAGTTATGCAAAATCTGATCAGGCCATCTCGAGTTTCACAAAAATGTGGCACAGGACCCTGAATACCGCAAGGTTGAAGGTTTCATCTCCAAAGGTAACTGATATATCACGCAAAAACTTTGAAAACTGGACAGACTGTACTTATGTTGCTACTTAGAAAGGTGATTAGTATTTCGAAGCTGTTGAAGTTGCGAAGAAGAAGTCGTCAATTAGTGAAATCTGTGATTCCCTGAAATGCCTATAGTCAGTTCACGTATTGTCGGCAAACAGCGTAACAGAGGTAACTTCCATTTTCAACTTCCTAGAAAGAATTTTTTCCAGAAAATTACTTGAGAGAACAGAAACTATTAGGCAAACGGTGTTCGAAATTTAGAGTACGCTGTTTGCTGGCAATACGTGAAATGACGAGGCATTCCAGTATTCCAGAGAATGACGGCAGGGGTGGCCCTCATCTCATGGCCACCTCTCTATAGGATTTCTTTCCACAAGAATTATTCGTTCTCTACCAGATCGTTGTGGTAATACCATGGTAGGTACTTATTCAAAAAAGGCTCATCAATATTCGACCTTTTTTATCAGATGAATCTTATAACTGGCCCAAACTGCTGAATCCTATTCGCTAGCTAGGCATTATTGGAATTTCAAAGCAGTCTACAAATACTGCAAATTTCGTCTCAACAACTTCAAGATAATAAATAAAGAGAACCGCAGTCTAAAAATAGAAACATAAACTTGATGCATAAACATGATTTCACCCGAAGTGGATTCAGACTGAATTAATTTCCTTCCACAATTTTCATCATTTTCTAAGTAACATCAACGACCTTCGTTCTGTTGATATACGAATATAGATGAAGAAAAACAGTGAAAACCTGAAATAAATCACTGATGAGCTTTCCTTTCTGGCAAATATCAATAATATCATTACGCGGTATAACCGCAATGATGAATAAGATTTTCCTCAGTTTCCCTTGATATTTTGCACAACAACTGGTCAACTGGTTGGAAATAATCACCAATCATCACATAATTTTTTTATGGCTCAAGCAAATCATCAATTCCGTTGTATTATTGAATATAACCTTCAAACGGTGAAGTAAATAATAATTTCTATGAAAATGCAACATATCAAAAAACTAGAAGAGTTCTCACGAACTTTGCACTATGGATTGAAATCCGAGGAATATCCTATATGTCTAACGGCCTCCAGTTTTAGAATTCAAATAGAGTTGAATACGGAAAAATTCAATTTGGAAAAACCGGTAGATTGACCTCGATGTGATCCACCTCTTTAAATTCATATTCCGAAAATAATACCGCACCTTGAAACCATAACCACGTTACCAGTCCTGCAGAAGAACAAAAATTGAGTATGCAAAGAAATATTACTTTGTGTTTTCCATGATATGAACCTGGTTGAAATTCAGTTCCAATACTCTAGTCCCAATCACTTGCACCATATTATATCTAATCTACCCTAACAAACCTGAGTTCGTATGGGGACTCCCACCGTGACCTAGGTTCGAATCCTAGTTAGGCCATGGATGTTTGTGTTTGTATGTATAACTAACCCCGCACATGTTTCGACTTATGGGGCGTTTGGTCCCAGTGCTGGGACTAACGAGGTATGTAATTGCGAAACAATCAAATGGAGTGGAAACTAGATCGTATAAGCAGAGGACTATATTGAAAAGTGACAAAGATAATCCTATATCATTCCTCCATCAACCAAGTAGTGTTCGTGAAAAAATCACTGCATCATCCAAACCGGAATATCTATACATCTTGTATAAAAGAGCGATATTGGACAAAGTTCATATAGGTAAATTGAAGACCTGGTTAACTCCAAATGCCATCAGAATATTTATAAATCTGTACCAAGTAACACATAGGTACTTAATAGGTACTTGAATTAATTCAATTAACTATATTTTAGATTCCTCTATGCTCTAACTTTGACAATATCAGATTGATATTATATTATCATAGAAATGCAAACGAAGGACTAACTAACTATATATAGGATCGGTTTTGTACCTATATTATTATATTCTTCAAGGAATGCAGTGAGCGCTCCGAAATTTTAGCTGGAAATCCCTTGATCATTGCTGAGGCATAAAACTATTATACCTATAGTTGTCACAGAGCGGTTGTGTACCAGATCATTCATTAAAATTCGACAAATAAGAACTAACTGATAAGTTTTTCATACTGATCTGCTGCTACAAGATATTGAACATCCTAGGATTGATTTGGTCTCTATATATTCTTCAAGGAATTCTTAGTTTGAAGAAAGAGCAGAGAGCTCCCAAATTTTAGATAGAGCTAAATAGAAATCCCGTGATCATTGCTGAGGCATAAAACTATAGTCGTCACCTCGGTCGATCGTCGCTAATTGTATCCCAGGTCATTCATTGGAATACGAATAAAGGCCTAACAAATTTTTCCTACTGATCTGCCGCCACAAGATTGAAAACCCTAAGATTGATTCTGGTAACTATATTCCTCAAGGAATTCCTGGTTGAAGTAGGAGCAGTGACAGCTCCCAAATCTCAGCTAGAGCTAAGTAGAAATATGCTGAGGCATAAAACTATAGTCGTCTCTGGTTATGTCCCATCAGCTCAGCCTTTCATGGTATATCGGACTTCGATAGTCTCTTTATAATATAATAAGAGTAAGCCTCATACATATATATTTATTTAGATGCGACATAATATGATGCGATAAGGTGTGTTCATGAATAAATAATCATTTCCTGACCTGGTAGTAATCGTCCAAATCACTTTGTCTCTCTTCGTTGTCATTTTCGCAACAGGTGGAGTTCAAGTGTAGCTTCAAGGCTTTATCGGTATCTGTCATTCCCACCGCTCCAGGCTGATGCTCCTCGATTGATTTGGATTAGGTTTGTTCATGTCACGACGATGGACTGAGCCTACTGCGCAACTTTTCATACGATAACCTTCCACCGAGATATCGACCACATGTCACAGCGGACTCAAACCAACTGCATTTGTCGATTTCTCTCTGAAATACCAAGGATCGAGTTATTTGATCAGTGATCGGCGTGGGAGACTATCGCGCAATATAAATAAACAAATACGACGAGATAATGACAGAGTTTGATAGCTTCTTTGATTTGCATTTTGGGATACCACTGCTGAAATCCTTGCTGGCTAGAACAAAACAAATATATTCCTCGAGTCTTTGTACCTGATATAGCGCCTATTCCGATGGTTAGTCAGAATAATATATAGCACTTGTCTATGGTTTTGTCCTCTCTCTACGCCTCGGAACAAGTTCTCATACTTCAGTGGGTCAGTATAAGCGAGCCAATGACATGACAGAAACAGTCACTGCGTCTCCATATCTGACGGGAGAGCCTCTACTCTAGTAAGTCTTTATTATTTATTTCATATGTTCTCTGCTCTCATTTTTCTTTTTTTTTCTCGCCAGGTATATACAGCAGTGTGACCCACTTCAAATGCAAACACCCCTGTATTTTACGTAATTGTTAGGCAAGGATCCTGAAATTTGCTGGAGCGAGAGATATACCAAAAAGCACTCAATGACCAAGTGGGGTCATCTTCAGTGATATACACTGCTCGCCAACAGCCATGGACCACCCCAATTTCCGGAAAATGATATTAGGAGTCAAAATAGGTTGAGAATCACTTCGGATTCGGAATCACGACGCCCAATTCACTAACTAGTCATGGTTTTCTTAGAAAACTTTCAGTTCAAAAAAATTGTTCGAGTTTATTCTCGATCACGTACTTCTCATGATGGAAGCACATCACCGTATCTCACGTAATTATTGAGGTAGGCAAGTGGAAGGGAAAGTCCAAAGATGAAGTCAATTTATACGTAAGATACGGGGGTGCTTCCGTAAAAAGTGCGACAAAATTAAATTTTTCAGAACTGAAAACGTAGCGAAGTACTAACATTATTTTGACTTACTCTATCAGCACCCTGTATATCAGATGAATATCGCATCTGTGTAGAAACTGTGTTGATATAATGATATACCACATGTAATACCTTATATTATATTGAGATTCACAACTTTTGTGTAGGTATAATAATCATCGCAGTTGGGTGGAAAACTGGAATAAGTAGATAAATAATGAGAGGGATAATTATACATACATGACTAATTACAAAAAAGATAATCATTAGTATATTAGTAAGTTCTCTATCACCACGCGTTTTGAGTATCGTATTTCCCCTATTACCCTAATAACACAGGCCATCCAATGGATGTCCATTTTAGGTCCAAAAAAGTTTCGGATATCCATGGATAAGAAATGTACATCCATTGGATGTAGCAAAATGCCTATCCAATGGAATACCACCGACACTATTCCAAAGGACATCCAAAAAAGTTCCGGATATTGATGGACATGAATTGTACATCCATTGGATAAACATAAATTCTCATCCAATGGATTACTAATGATACCTTTCCAATGGATATCCATAATGTATATATTGGCCTGAGAGAATGTAAATGCCATCGCCATCTTTGTTTCGTGTTCTCTATTGTCGTTCGTCATGTATTCCGTACCTTGAGTCGTTCGTGTTTACTGTTTATTGTGTGCAGAAGTTTGTATCGTTTGTAAGCGTAATATATCAATCAACGATATTAGTGAACTAATTATTCGAGTCGTCCCTTGAGTCGTTGGTGTTTACTGTTATTGTATGCAGAAGTTTGTATCATTTGAGGCAGATTCATGCAGCAATATATTAGTGAAATAATTATTCGAGGTCAATTTGAGGTTATGTGTAATGATTACTTTTTCAACTTGTTCACATATTATTTTATGAAAAGTGTGTGTGTGTGTGATCTCTCATTTATTATTTTCGAAGGAATCATCCATCGTTACCTATATAGGTATTCGAAATATTCAATAGTGATTTATTTCTCTCAATTAACCCAATTAAGTGAAATTGTGATTGAATATAATGAACGTTGTATAAATCAACCATTTAAGCTTGTAGCAAAACACCCCAATTTGAAATTGTGTCACAGAACCTATTGAATTGTCATTATTTATTCTTGTTAGTATTGGTTTGGCAGGCCTGAGTTTCTAGACTTATTCTCACCTGGTGCTTAGGCAACCCGTTAATACCCGCAGTGAATTGAGGGTCGTATACCTTTCAGGCTGTCTGATATCTAGTTGTCTATTGGCCTTGACCGCGGGAAATTGAGTAGGAAGAGGTAAATACAAAAACTAAGAACTAGAGATACAAACTACTTTTTTTATAAATATTTGAACTGGGTTTCTCTTCGGCGAAAACTTCTGAACAAGCAAGGCAAGATAAGGCCACATCAAAGTGAATTGCTGGGGGCCTTATGGTTCAAAATATAACTGAAGTTATGTTGAAACCTGTGCCTGCATTTCTTTGTAGGTAGGTGACGATATATATTTTATTTAAATGTAATATTTTATAATGTCTCATTACCTCACACGTGTTACAATGACTTTGTCAAGATATTGCATCATTTCACTTGTGTTCGATTAATGCCTGTTCATGCGGTCTACTATAATCTGCATTTCTTTGTAGTGCCTGACCATTGTCATTATAATATATCACCACTAGAGCAATAAACAGCCTCCAAACCATTGCCTGTCTTTCCATACCAAATCACCAGGACGAAACTCCAAATTAAAACCCCTGAGATAAAAGATTCATTGCATCTGGCGCCCAACGTGGGGCCTGGTTTTAGGGGACAGGCCAAACTTTGGTTTGATGCATATGTACATACTTTTGAAAATTACTTGGAATTCCGGAGTAGTTTCTTGGAACAGTTTTGGGGTGCAAATAGACAACTAAAAGTCAAGCTGAAGTTAGAGTCAGGGAGATATCATGAAAGCGAGGGATCATTCGTTAATTATTTCAACAAATATGTAGTTATGGCCAAGCATCTCCAACCCCCATACTTGGACCCTCAGCTGATTGCAGCCATTGCTAGACACTTCCCCCCAAACATAGCAGCAGTTTTAGTGGGTAGTAGCTCACTTAGGGCAGCTGCTGATAGGCTGCGCCAGGCAGACTATTATTTCAATAATGATAGCAAGAAACAGGTATTTCCTGCAAGAAATGATACTAATCAAATGAAACATGTCAATAGACAAAACCCTAGAATGTATAATAATTATAATAACAATCCCAATCCACACAGAGATATGAACACAAAAAATATTTCTAGCCTAGATCTCCATGAAGAAAACCCGGAAAATCCGGAAAACGGGACAGCACCCCACATGTAGGCCCAAATGTGGGTGCGGTTTTATCTAGGGCTCTTAATGTAAATAATAATCCCTCAGAGGAACTACTGGAGGAATGTGACTTTGATCACGTCCCCAATGAATCACGCTCACCAATAATTTTATTAAAAATATTTAATATTGAATTCCCAGCAATGGTGGATACTGGAAGCACAGTCTCCGCTATGGCAATGGAAGTCTGGGACCAACTGGCAGATGCCCATGGGGAAATTCCTCATTTCCCTACAGTAGGGGTAAAAGTAGTAGGGGCATTTAAGGCTAAATTTCGCAAGGTGTCCTTGCAAGCTTCTATAAAATTTTCTATGGGTGGCACCGAGTTTACTCAGGAATTTTTAATTATTTCCAGTCTCTCTTATCCTATAATAGTAGGGGTGGATTTCTTGCGGCTGCATAAAATATCCATCAACCTAGAAGAAAAAAGGTTGGAATTGATTTTGAATAATAGGAGAATATTTATTCCAGAAAAAATATGGAAACATGAATTGGCCTCACCAACCCATATTTCCATTATTGTGAATAAATCTTACCGTAGCAAACTTCATAATGTGTTAGATACGGAATGTTCAGAGCCGCCTAACCAAACTGGTAGGATTGATTTCATGGAAGTTTTGACCGCATGCCCTTTACCAGAAATGCAAAAACTGAAATTTGAAAAGTTGCTGAAAAAATATGAAACGATTTTCGCAGATTTCCCGGGGCGTACCCATTTATACGAGCATGTAATTAATATGAAAAATCATGACGAATTCTTTATTAAACCATACCCCATTCCTGTTGCGCATAGGGAAGCGGTAAACAAAACAATTTCCCAAATGGAGGCCTGGGGTGTTATTGAACGATCTTCGACCCCATATATATCTCCATTAATGACAACCCTGAAAAAAGACGGGAGTGTTAGGGTATGCCTAGATGCAAGACATTTGAATAAGGTAATTCAACATGAACATGAGTTACCCTTGCGGATAGAGGATATTGTAAGGTCCTTGAACGGTAAAAAGTATTTATCCAAGATTGACCTTTCGCATTCTTACTGGCAGTTGCCCATTCGAAGGGAGGACCGTAAATATACAGGGTTTATTGTAGGTACGAAGACATACCAGTTCTGTTCTCTTCCTTTCGGGATTTCAACTGCGGTGAGTTCATTCACTAGGGCGATGGACACCATTTTTGGAAATGAATTCGCTGGTTTTTTACTCACCTACATAGACGATCTTCTGGTGATGTCTTCCAGCATCGAAGAACATCTGGACCACCTAGAAAAAGTGTTCGATAGACTACAGGCAGCAGGGCTCACCGTCAAGCTTCATAAATGTCGTTTCTACCAAAGTGAGATGCATTTTTTAGGGTACATGGTGAGTCCAGTAGGAATGAGTCCAGATCCCGAACGCGTCCAAGCTATTGTCGATTACCAACGCCCAAAAAATATCAAGGAAGTCCAGAAATTCCTTGGTCTTTGTAACTTTGACAGGTCCTTCTCACCTAAGTTTGCTGAGCTTTCTGAGCCGTTGACGCAGCTGTTACGGAAAAACTCGTCCTGGAAGTGGGGGGACACCCAAGAAAATTCGTTCCGAGCACTGAAGAAGGAGCTTGAACAAGCGACGCTGTTATATCACCCCGATCCCGAATTACCTTGGCATGTCACAACTGATGCGAGCGATTTTGGGATAGCGGGCCAGCTGTTCCAAATGGTACAAGGAAGGAAACAGGTAGTCGCTTGGGCGAGTAGGCTGTTGCTGGATCGGGAAAGGAGATACAGTTCCAATGAGAAGGAAGTTTTGGCAGCACTTTGGTGCATTCAGAGGTGGAAAGTCTACCTTATTTCGAATGAATTCACTCTGTATACAGATAGCAGGACCCTGACGTATCTCAACTCGTGCAGGTTGTTGTCGCCTCGTATAACCCGGTGGGCTTTAGCTCTGCAAGAGTTTCGTATGAAAATAGTTCACATTGCTGGACGAGAAAATGCAGTAGTCGACTCTCTGTCTAGGTATGCTTGCGTCCGGTTACCAACCCCTTCGGATAAATGTTTTCATTTGTTTAGGTTACAACTCCCCCCGCAGCTGAGAATGACCCTGGAAGAAATAGCAGATTGGCAGGTCGAAGATGAAAAGATTTTAAAAATAAGGGAGAACCTCCACAGAGATGATAATTTGGCAGGGAAGTTTGTTCTGCACAATAACATCCTGTATAAGCAGGGGAATGATCCGCAGCAATTTCTACTGTACATTCCACAAATGTTGGTGCGTGACTTAGTCCTGGGTTACCACAAGACACTTGGCCATTTTGGGGTATACAAGGTGTGGGTGGCGCTACGGGAAGAAGTTTATTTTGAAAATATGCAGAGGACGGTTAAAAAATATGTCAAAACTTGCGACATCTGTCAGAAAGCCAAAATCGCTGTGCTACCGGACCCTGCTCAACTGCAAATAGTCCCTAAGTCGAAGGCTGACCTACTGGCCCTGGATATCTTGGGTCCTTTGATCCGTAGTCGAGGCGGTGCTATGTATGTCCTGGTTATTTTAAACGTTTTTACTAAACACGTAACCTTGTACCCGCTCAAGAAAGCCACTTCGAGGGCTATGTTGAATCGGCTTGTCAACACCTACTTTCCCTTACATGGCCAACCGTTACGTATCCTCCACGATAACGCCACATATTTCACCTCCAAAGTGTGGAAAAAAACTATGTCTGACCTGGGAATACGCCTAGTTTTCATTTCAGTTCGTCACCCCCGGGGAAACCCTTCTGAGCGTTGCATGCGCGAGATTGGTCGCATTCTGAGGACGTATTGCCATGAGAAGCACAGCAAGTGGGCTGTGGATATCCCATTATTCGTCCAATTTTTGAATGCAGTAGTTCATGAATCTACCGGATTCTCTCCAGATGAGTTGGAATTCGGTCGCGAAAAACTTCGTCTGGTTCCGGCCACGGTATCTCACCCGCACCAGGTAGCGCGGTATACCCACGCAGAAAAATTAGTGTTGGCTGACGCCACCTTAAAGTCAAAAGCCGAACGGCGTGCACTGTCTCATTCTGGGCGGCCCTATCAGCCTTTCCAACA